TCACCATCGTTCGTCGCAAAAGCAGAAAGATCATTTTCGAAATTGAAAAATCGAAAAAAATCTTTTTAAATGTTATTAAACCTGTAATGTGACTATCGGCCGTCACCGAACACAAGTTTTTCTGACGTAGTTACGCCACTGTATTTCGGTATTCTTTTGATACCACTCCTAGCGCAAGCTTAATCAAAGGAAGCTTGCTTTGGCAGGCTGAAGCTTATATACCCTTGAAGACGAATAAAATGGGGATTGTTTAGTGTGCTAAACTCGTGTCCACAACTGTATATATTTTTCGATCTTTCCTATGTTAGCTATATAATATTGTTATTCGATTTTGATAAAATTTAGTTTGAAACGATAGTAGTTAAAAATACCATCTGACAGAAATCAGTCGATATGATCAAAAACAACGCCGATATAGTCGCCCGATCCGGCCCGTTCCGACTTACATACAGTGACTCGCAGCTTATTTCGTGCAGTCACCTAAAAAAAGTTTAAATCTTTATTCCTGCTAAACTAAGAAAGATATCAGAAAAATTAAATGCAGTATTTTAATATTGAATATTAACTTATGTATTGAACGAAAACGATTTTCTTAATCATAAAAAGCAGCTTATTTCGTGCAGCAGATTCTACTTAACTTATTATTAGTAATTTAACAGCTACAATTTTGTATGTCCTTCTTTCTGGTTCAGGACAGCTTTGAGACGATTTTCCACGGAGCAAACTAACTTTTTAGTGGTTTTCACTGGAATTTTTAGCCATTCTTCCATAAGAACAGTTTTCAGATCGTTTTTGGTCGAAATCTTCCTCTTCCTTATAACTATTTCCAATATATCCCATAAATTTTCGATCACATTTAAATCTGGAGACTGTGCTGTCGTTATAACGACCCTCATGTCGTTCCAGATAAGCCAAGACTTCACAATTCCTGCTGAATGCTTCGGATCGTTGTCTTCGTAAAATCGAAAACGATCGCGTTTGCCCAGTTTTTCACCAGTTTGGAGTAGGTTATCCTTTAAAATGTTGAGGTACATTGTGGCATCCAAGATGCCATCAATGAAAATGAGGTTGTCCACGCCAGAGGATGCCATACAGGCCCAAACAATGACGTGACATTAAAATTTTTCTGATATCTTTCTTAGTTTAGCAGGAATAACGATTTGAACTTTTTTTTTAGGTAACTGCACGAAATAAGCTGCGAGCCACTGTATATACTGCGTGCAATAAATACACACACAAAGTTTCAGCATGATAGCTTTAAAACTGAGAGACTAGTTTTATAGAAACAGACAGGGGGACAGACGGACAGCCCGACAGACGTACATATTTTGATTCTGATCGTGATGCTGATCAAGAATGTATATATGTATGTACTTTATTGAATGTAAGGTGTCTCCTTCACTGCGTTGCAAACTTCTGAATGAAATTATAATACCTATTGCAAGGGTATAAATATGTTTCTGTTATAAATATGTGTTTGTACATATGTATATAATGTTGCCAAGCTTGCGGCAAGGTTGCTTTTGTACCATGGCCACCTTTGTTGTCAGCGCTACCATCATTGGTTCATAAAAAAGTAAAACAAAAACTTGTTGCCAAAAACAAAAGCTAATAGCCAACGTAATGGGACCGTAACGATTTTCTATCAGAGTATTTGCCCACGTTATGGTTATCATATCAGTCAGCAAAACAAAAAGCTTTTAATTTCGATACACTTTCTGCATGTAATAAAGTAGGACTTACTAAGTCTTACATCAGAATTTTTATACCCTTGCAGAGCAAAGGGTATTATAATTTCAGTCACAAGTTTGCAACGCAGTGAAGGAGACACCTCAGACATAAAGTATATATATTCAGCATCATGATCAGAATCCAAATACGTGTGGAGCTTTTTAATAACCCTTGAATCGAGAAAAAAATTTCATTAAAATCGGATAACGTTATCATATAGCTGCGATAGGAAAGATAGAGAAATCTATATAGAAATAACCGAGATGAAATTATTAAATCGTTGATTTCATCGAAAAAGCATGATTTTTGGAATATAGAGTTTTCTTACGACTCTTGAACCCCAAAAGCCTTCTGTCTTCTGTACGTGTGTTAGTCATTGAACTCCTCTTAAACGACTGGACCGATTTTGATGAAATATTTTGTGTGTATTCCAGGGGGTTTGAGGATGGTGGAGATTCACACTATGTAGTTAAAAAAATATTTATTATTTTTGAGGTTTTTAATGTTTTAATAATTTTATTTTTTCGCTTACACATTGCAAACTCAGTAGGTGATTACACACAAGTCTATAGCTGAGTAAATTTTGTACAGAAATTATAAAGTCATGTTTGGTAGGCGACGTTGTTGGAACATAGGTCGTAGTACAGTAAATGCAAGAAGAGTACGTTGCCATCTGGTGGCGAAACGGAGTTCACCGGGTTTTGCTAATGACTATATAATTTTGTTATTAAATTTAATTCAAAATTCAAGAGTTGCTAGAAAACTCTATACCAAAAATCATGCGTGGTATGATACACAAGAAAATAAGCTAGCTTCGGTGAGCCGAAGCTAATATTCCCTTGCAGAGTTTAATTAAGGGGTTATATACCTTTTTCTCCAGAGAAATATGTACAGGGTTTTATTTTTTTTTTGTTTAGCATGTTACCATTGTTTTTTTTAAATACAATACAAATTTTATCAACGTACGTGTCCTTAAGTAAATTCGTATAAAATTTCGAGTGAAAATTTTCATAATTGTGGAAGTTATAGTCCTTGCCGCAGAAGTCCTTTTTTCAGTAGTGGCTAACGGTGAGCATGAAAACAAGGAAACGGCTCAACAAAAAAAAAAAAACTACGTTAGTATATAGTGCTACCTAGTTCGTGAACAAAGGATTTTACGAAAAAAAATTTTTACAGTTACGGTGATTTTTTTTTCAATAAAGCCGATTTTTCGAGGTCTAATAATTTATTTTTTCGCCCCAAAAAAATAGAAAAATTTGTCGAAAATAAAATCATAAAATAAATAAATAAATGTATCTACAAACAATCCCCCAAAATTTCAAATCGATCGATGTAGTGGTTACCGAGATATCGTATTAGGTAGTCATGGAATGAATGCGCTATGAACGGCTGTATCTTAGGTTCTCTCTAAAAAATTTTGCAGAAAAATTGTTGAAAGTATGTACATCCAAAAAAAAAACATAAAATTTTTTTTTCGATTTTTTGAGCCTGAAAAAGGTATATAACCCCTTAAGTCGAACGAAATACGTAGAGGCTAACAACATCGGAGCTTTGACGATTTTTCTATTCATTTTCAATATAAATTTGTCGAGCAATATGCATAAAGGCTAAACAACATTGAAGTAATGACGATTATTCTATTAATTATACCCTTGTAGAGGGTATTATAATTTCAGTCAGAAATTTGCAACGCCGTGGAGACACCTCAGACCCCATAAAGTATATATATTAGGTTGTTTGGTAATGACATACCGGTTTTTACATTCAAATTTCGCGCTTCGCTTGTGAAGTCAAATATAATCGTATCTGGCAATGCTGTATATCGTTTGAAAGGTATTGGTATCACCCTTAAAATATATATGACATATAGTTTGTTTACATGAGCTTCCACGTTAAAAAATTACAATCGATTGAAATCGAGTTCACAAACGCAGAAATTCGGGCAATTTTGAAATTTTATTTCGCACAGGGAAAAACTGCTGCGGAATCTCGCAGACAGATTATTGCTGTCTTAGGAAATAACAAACTTTCGACTCAAACCGCCGAACAGTGGTTTAGGCGATTCCGAAGTGGCAATTTTGATACCGAAACACCCAAGCCTTCCGGACGACCAGTGACCGTTGATACGGATAAAATCATGGAAGTAGTGGATCGAGATCGTCATGTGACTATTAGAACCATCGCAGAGGAGCTGCAACTAAGCACGGAAACCGTGCATAGGCATTTAAAGTCGAAAAATTTAACAAAAAAGCTCGATGTATGGGTGCCTCATGAGTTATCCCAAAAAAACCTTTTCGACCGTGTATCAATCTGCGAATCTTTGTTGCATCGTAATAAACTCGACTCATTTCTGGATCGGTTAGCCAACATAAAGCGTAAAAGGTCCTGGTCGAAGCACGGTGAGTCGTCCCAAACGGTGGCAAAGCCAGGACCGACGGCTCAGGAGGTGTTGCTGAGTGTATGGTGGGATATCAAAGGAATTATCCTTTATGAAGTGTTGCCCTATGGCCAAACCATCAATTCTGACCTCTACTGTGAACAACTGGAGCGATTGCAGATTGCACTTGAACAGAAGCGTGTTGTTGTGTTCCATCATGACAACGTCAGGCCCCATACATCTTTGGTGACGCGTCACAATCTACGGGAGCTTGGTTGGGAAGTGTTAATGCATCCACCTTATAGTCCGGACATTGCCCCAAGCGATTACCATCTGTTTTTGGCCATGCAAAATTTTTTCGATGGACAAAAATTGAGTTCAAGGGAGGATTGTGAAAATCGAATTGCCGAGTTTTTTGCCAGTAGGGACAAGGACTTCTTTAGGAGAGGCATATACAAGTTACCATCAAAATGGCAGAAAATCATCGAAGACAACGGTATATATAGCACTTAAATCGACAATGCTAACTATGGTAAAATCGTCGTCAAAAATTAATAAAGAAACCGGTATGTCATTACCAAACAACCTAATATTTTGATCAGCATCACGTTCTGAATTGTGTCTGTTTTTAGACTATTACTACTACATATTGGAATTAATTTTTATCAAAATCAGATGACTATATCATATAGCTGTCATATGAACAATTCTAAATGTATAGAAAAACAGTCATAGCTTCGATTTTGTTTAGCTTTTATGTATTTTGTTCAACAGATTTGATTTCTTTTCCTTTTTTATTGTATGAATAAAAATACAAAAGTAATAAATAAATAGTACGCAAATTTCTTTACAAAAACGACTTTAATATTATTTTTTTGCATTTTTGTATTAGAAAATCAACCGGATCTTACACCATCAGGGTCCTTTTGGCAGCAACATGTGGCGACGCCTAGTAGTTCAACACCCTTCGATTCGCCCTTTTATTCGGCAACACATGGCCTTGTACAGACTCATCCCTCTTTAAGTTCGAGCCCAGTTCCACTGAACAGCAATAGCCTGGGAAGTGGAGTACCTCCGTCAAGTGTGGCTGGTAGTAAGCCATCCTTAACAGCTGGAAGTGGCTACCTAAATTCCCGCGGAAGTTTGCCTACTTCTGCTCGTTATCCAGCTAATAAGATCACTGGGACAGTGGTCGAACCTAACCCGAAATCTCCTTTCCGCCACTTAGACTTTTCTACTAGCGCAACTGCGGAGTTAAGGCGCAATCCAGCACTATCTGCTCCGGACGAATGTGCTCGCGCTTGTCGAGAGGGAGAGCCTCCAAGAATATGTTACTATCATTTTACGTTGGAGTACTACACTGTTCTGGGCGCGTAAGTATTAACTGCTGGTAATTATTATAATTGCAAATCATAAATTTAAATTGAAAAGCCGAATGTTAGATTTATAACTTATTTAAACCAAACACAAAACAATTAAAACATCACCAATTATTATTTGAGAATCTAAAAAAGTCTTCTCAAGATAAAGATAATGGAATGATTGCCTCTTACTTAACGCGCGTTACAGAAAGACTATAACAAAAAATGTTGCTTTGTGGGTTTTAAATAAACCTTGTATAGAGAAATAAAGTTTAAGTCTTTTACATTATTTATTGTCATAAGGGAGTGCCCCCAAACCTGAAGTGAGTTATTCGGTACACGGTCAGATACGTCATTTTTGCCGGACTCGTCCTGTTATGGCTTGCCCTACCATATATTTTCTATCACTTTGCTTTGCTTTCTTAAGCCTATCGTTCTAAGTAGCCGGAGCATAAATATTTCTACAGACAATATTTCAATTTAGACGGTTTTACGTTAACTATTTCTTGTCAGTTTTAGGTTTGCACTGTCGTTTTTCGGCGCCCCTCTTATACGTAACGCTGGTATATGTATGAATTTATGTCGGAAGTTTTCAACGCAATGTAGGAGACACCTCAGACAAGAACCCACAAAGTATTCGATTATATATTTTTATCAGCATGTTACCTTGTCTCTTTGTTTTTAAGTTACATATCTCGCTAAATCTTCACCAACAGTTGTGTAGTTATATGTAGTCAGCAAATCGTTATTTTTATAAAGATCGGAAAAGAAATATTTGGCATAGAAATGAAAAAAATAATTGAAAAAATTTGATACAACTTGAAACTAGTCTAGTCTAGTTTTCTTTATTTGGGTTACGTCTGTAAGGGTACACGACCAGTTTTGCAAAATTACTGGCTAAAGCTAAAAATAAGCCATTCCTTCTCGAAATTTGTCATGTTTAGTTTTAGTGCAAGCATCGTGATTGGTGCTGCACAGTTTATGGAACCGCTTTTCTGTCGATAACTGCTTCGAAAACTTAAATAGTGTTTTAAATTCCATAAGGTTTTAATCAAAGCTCATTCTGGTTGAAAACAGTAAATTTGGGTTTCTTTCTGATTGGCAAAACTATAGTAAACGTCCACCGAAAAATATTGAGCTGTTGCTATTTTTTATTAACTTTATACGAGGTATATTCAAAGATAATAAATATTATGCGCAATTAAAAAAACTTTAAGAACCAATAAAAATAATAAATTTGTCGTTAAACACAGCCAGATTAACTAATTCGAAAATCTGTGGTTTTTTTGGTAATTCATTTGGGAGATTGATTCTTTAGGTTTTAACTGGCCCTTTTAAACATAATTTGATTTATTTAGATGTCATGTTTGATTATCTCCATCCCTGTTCATTTGGAGGCTTTGATGAGCTTATATACCTTGCGGGTGCTAGCTTATGCCGGTTAGGCGAGCTTCGCTAAAAAAGGATAGTCATCAGTCTGTGCCTTAGTAGTGCTGAGAAGAAGAGTACTACGTTCTGGCAGTTTATGTTGCTATCAATTTGCAGTTGTACAGCTGCCAAATTAGGACGATAGAGAACTTGTGATTCATTTTTAAAATAATAAGAGATTCCCTTAGTGCATATATTTTTGCTTGGAAGACGTTGACATAGTCAGCGAGCCTGTGGTAAAAAAAAGGAGTGTTTTTTTTTAATTCCAACCGATCTTAGTAACCGGCCTGAGATCATTGGAGTTTGATTGAGTTAGGTTGTGCCCCTGTTAAAGCTTAAAGATTTGAGTTTAGAAAGAAATAAGGAATCAAGGCAGAAGCGGACTGTGGCGAGCGTTCCCATTGCAGACGATGACCAGGCCCACAGCAGTCGAGCGAGGTCGTCTTAAGGAAAATCTTTTTTGTAGGTCATGTATATTATTGATAGTATCCTAATATCAGCTATTGCAATGTCGCCATTGCTGAGATTATGAAGCAGCAATATGCGATAAATCCGTTGGGGTAATACTGCAGTTGCCAATTTAACCTTGATTGTTCTGTAACCAAAAAAGGTTATTTATAAGTACGATGTCGGCTTCGCCTATATTGTTTTGGGGGTTATTGCAGTAACTTGAGCATATCTGCAATGTACGGGGTAGTACCTGATTTCTTAATTGAGGCCCCTGTATGGTTATACCGGGATAGATATAATTTCTAAGTTGAATTGACCACGAGCTGCATTTTGTTGCTGGTTATACAATTTAAGGCTGAAAAAAACCAAAGACCTGGCTAAATAACGTGGCTTGCGGAGACGGGGCTTTTTAATAGCAGGGTTGTCGGCTTAAGACTACTAATAACGTTTTACGTTTGATATGTATAACCTACAACCCGCTCGATAGCCCCAGCTAGATAACGTAGGTGGCCCTTAAAGTGTTACATTTATTTTTATAACTTCTAGCCTATATGCCTTTTATTTTTTTAATTTCAACATTTTTTTTAATTTGATTTTTCCTAATATATGCAGTGCTTGCCAAGTATGCACTCCAAATGCAACAAATACGGTTTGGAGTCATTGTCAGTGTGTTTTAGCTGACGGAGTTGAGCGCGGAATTCTAACAGCAAATCGAATGATACCCGGCCCTAGCATTCAAGTATGTGAGAACGATAAGGTAGTCATTGATGTTGAAAACCACATGGAGGGAATGGAAGTAACTATTCACTGGCACGGTATATGGCAGCGAGGCTCGCAGTACTATGATGGCGTTCCCTTCGTCACACAATGTCCCATACAGCAGGGAAATACCTTCCGTTATCAATGGACGGGCAATGCTGGAACGCATTTTTGGCACGCTCATACTGGCTTACAGAAACTAGATGGACTTTACGGCAGTGTGGTGGTTCGCCAGCCACCATCGAGGGACCCTAATTCCCATTTATATGATTTTGATTTAACTACTCATATCATGCTTATTAGCGATTGGTTACACGAAGACGCTGCAGAGCGATATCCTGGACGACTGGCAGTAAACACAGGCCAAGATCCAGAGTCAATGCTAATTAACGGCAAAGGACAGTTTCGTGACCCAAATACTGGATTTATGACTAATACTCCATTGGAAATATTTACAATAACCCCTGGCCGCCGTTACCGTTTCCGAATGATAAACGCATTTGCTTCTGTTTGTCCAGCACAAGTCACAATCGAAGGACACGGTATGACAGTCATAGCAACCGATGGTGAGCCTGTGCATCCTGTTGATGTCAACACAATCATTTCATTCTCAGGTAAGACGAACAAAAATTATTTCATATATGTACATAACTATTTTTCTAAAGAGAAATATTGCAGAAAGAGATTAAATTAACTATAGTGAAAAGATGTTGATGCTTTTCATTAACAGTTGCAACGGAAACCAATTTTGGAATAGGTTGTAAAAAAATATAGGCCGCAAGAAAAAGGAAAAGTAAAAATTTGGTGTGGATAGGCTCGAAAACTTTAAAATTTCTACGTCCATCCTGAGAGAATGTAAGTTTGGAACAGCACCAACCAAAATGTTTTGCCATCAAAACTGTAGGTTAAACTGCGTTTTGCGACTTGAATCTGCATGTTTAATTGTAGTAAAAGGAAACTTACCTCGGCGTGCCGAAGTTTATATACACTTGCAGATATGACTTAAATGCAAGAAACCACTAGGCTAGACTAGATTCTAGTTTTTTCGAATTTTCCATTATTTTTCTTTTTTTTATGGCGGATATTATATATAATACTAGCAAACCCGACGAACTTTGTTCCGCCTTAATGGCAATAAATAAGCAGATTGTTTTTGTTTATAGGAAAAAATTACAAAAAAAACTAAAAACCTAGATTAATCATTCATTTCTATTTCTGTATTTTAGTACATAGGTTGCTCTTCAGTTAAGTGCCTTGTGATACACGACATTTTTGTTTTATTATCAGGCGCAAAAACAAACAACGCAGATGGTCTTCCGACCCGTGAACATGCCAAGTATAATTGACCATGTAAAAAAGATTAATGTTCAGGAAGCAGACACTGCAAGTCTTGAAGAATTGCTCGCTTCATCCCTGCATTGATCCCTAGGCGTCGATCAAGTTGTTCTTCCATGTTGCCCATGAAATACATATATTTTTAAAAATTTTTTTTGTGTATCTTCGAAAGGTAGTAATGATCCAATTCGATGGTGAATCTGCCCTTGTATCTAAGATAAAGTAAGTTATTCTTTAACTACATTCTATGTAATACCAAAAAAAAAAAATACCTTAAATGTCGGATTAAACCCTCGTTCTTCGATAATATCTGCCCCAAATGACGTCATTTGGAAACAACCATTGTATTTTCGAGTATTTGCAAGAAAGTGGCGTAATTCTTGTGTTTCACCACAAAGCAATAAATACAATGGCTCAGGTGGCGGAGTCAACAATGGCAATTTCACTTTACCATTAAAGCAGCATAATCCAGGCGTTCTCCGGAAAACTTCAATGCACCGCAAACAACGTCCATTTGCCCAATGCAAACGCTAGGATGCAAGCTGTAATTAGTGATGCAATCGTATTGAAACGGTGCCCGATTCAAATCAGCACTTAATATATATCTTCTGCATCGCAAATTATCTTATTCTTGACCTCTGTTGTAAGCTCGACGATTCTGCATTGTCAACCGAGCCGTATTACCGGTTGTCTCACTTTGCTCTCCTGATTGAGAAAAACGAAGTCGACCCATACTTACGCCGCGCTGTTCACGTGCAATCTTCTCCTTCAGTCCTTTCATTTGCAGTATTTCTTAGTCTTCTTGAATTACGGCTTTGTCGGGAAAGATTCGATCATCTTGGTCGCGGCATTATTAATTAAACTTCACTTCACTTCAATTCACCAAAATCACAAAAATTGAGTTAAAATGCTATGGTAGCGTGTGCTTGTCAGTGTGTTGAGGTAATAACTCAGTTTAAATGCGATTTTTGGTATTTCGAACGGAATAAAAAGTATCCTATGTCCTATTCCTGGCTCTAAGCTACCTTCCTACCAATTTTCAGCCAAATCTGTTCAGCCGCTTAGGTGTGAAAGAGTAACAGACAGACAGAGATACTTTCGCATTCATAATATTACAATAGTAGGGATACGAGTCCGATCATTATAGAAATATGAAATTGCTAAGTGTTGAGCAAAATGCATGAATGCCTTGAACTATGTATTACGAATTTTCTGTTAGTATAATTTTTATAATTTCTTCGATTGTTTCCATGGTAGCTATAAGAGAACTGCATTGATTATGATCGTTAATGTTCGATTAAACTTGCTCCAACCGATCACAACTCAACACAGCGCTTCGCTACAAAATTGTACGATCGAGATTCGTGCACAAAACAAACGAGTTTTTCATTCACTTGATTGTTCTGCTTACTGGTTCAAACTGATTTGTTGGTTTCAGTATAATGATCGAAAATGATCGTACCGAAAAAGACGATCAAGTCCAACGATGCACCTCTCAGACTTCGATCAAGTTGCACTTGAATTGATTGTGAGTGAATCAATCAGATCGAAAATATGCACACATAGTTTTTATGTATATATAAGGTAACACAATCACCCGACCGCAATGGACTTGGGTAGTAGTAAGGCGAGTTTGAGAGTTAGGAACATTTCGGTACTTTGTTTTCGTTTATAGATCAAGCTTAAGAGATAAGAACATTTCTGTACTCTGTACTCTTTAAATTCGTTTGTATAACTACCCGGGACCAAGAAATAGAACAGATTGTTAATATAGAAAAAGGGCTATATTTGTTTCTTTTTTGCGGCGAAAAAAATAATTTTATTTTATTGAACTTAATTACATGTTATTATTTAACTTTTGAAGAGTATTAAAAAAAAACAAGAAAGGAAGCTAGCTTCGGCAAGCCGAAGCTTATATACCCTTGCAGTCATCAAATATGTCGAAAGGTTAAACAACATCGAAGCTAAGACGATTTTTGTATTCATTTTCCACATTTTCGACTATAGATCATATGGGAGCTATATGATATAGTTGTCCGATTTTGATCAAATTTAATTCGTAATTCAAGAGTCGTAAGAAAATATTATATTCCAAAAATCATACTTGTCTGATGAAAAACAACGATGTTATAATTTTATTTCCATTAATTCTATATATATTTGTCGAACTCTCCTATGGCAGCTATATGCTAGAGTTATCCGATTTTGATAAAATTTAATCCGAAATTCAATAACAGTTCGAAAACGCCATCTTGAAGAAACCAAGTCGATCTGATCAAAAACAACAAAACAAAACAAAAACACTAGCTACACTGACAGGGAGAGTACAAAAAATTCTCAAAGCAACACAGACATTTGGAAAAAGATTCTGAAGATTTTTTGAGTACAGAGCGTTCAGCAATGCAAATGGAGGAAGGTTTTTTTTTTAAATTATCTACAGATATATGTTTGAGGTGGACAATTTCATCTTTCAACTCTTCGGAAACATCAGCTACATACTTCTACGTACTGAATTCTCCGGCAGACGTCTGGAGAGTATCTTCATCCAACGTGGTGAATTTCCATAAAAAAGAGAACACTTGTTCAAATTTTTTATTGCTTGAGATCCTTCACTTCGTCAAGTGCTTCTTGTATTGCAGAAAGGTATTTCGCGAAAGGTTTAACGGCGTCAAGTCTTGCAGACCATCGCGTATCGGACTAACTGTGAAGGGAAGAGGGAATTTTCTTTTGAAGGAGTTCCCATCGTTGAGGGCTTGTACTGAATATGTTAAAACATTTCTGAACGACTCCGAAAAATATTATAGCTATATAGTTATAGTGAATAGACAGCGTATGGATTTTCTTCACAAATGATGCTTTGCGCCCCTTGGTACTGACCACTCATGTTTCTTGCGTTGTCATATCCTTTTCCCCAGCAGTCTATCAATGGAATTTTATATTTGCCCAACGTTCCACGGATCAGGTTCGCGATGTCTCGACCAGTTTTTTTTATTACAATCAGCAAAGGTCAGGAATCTTTCCTTGATTGTAAATGTCCTTTCTTTTTCATCGAAACGAAGGAAGCGCAGCACAAAAGTTGTTTGTTCCACATGCGAAGAATCAGGCGTTGAGTCAACAATCACAGCATAATATTTTGCATCTTCTCGTTCTTTCAAAATTTCTTCTTCTACATGTCGGGCACACAGTTTACAGTTCATTTTGGATTTTATGAGACAGATAGTGGACTTGCAATCGATGTTCCCGTTGTTCGGATTTCCGATGAGATCACTAACTCCCCTTAAAGCCAAACCTCTTTCTCCCAGAAACAAAATTGTGTCCAGAATTCTTTTCAAAATTGCTCTCCATTTCTTCGCTTCGCTTGCTACTTGCATGGTGTTGTCCATCATGCATCAACTGAAGAGTCGTTTTCAAGTCTTGTTTCAAAAGCACGCCATTTGACATAGCATTGAATATTTCTTAGGGTCCACATCTTAGCGATTTCTTTAAAATATCGCTGACCATTTTTTTGTACACAGTTTATTTGAGTTTTCGCCAAAAATCCGGGCCCCTCTCAGAAGTCCGGTCCCGGGGGGAAACACAAATATTCGCAGCTGATTTTCACAGATAACACTAATTAAATATTGATTAATATTTAAAAAAAATTTCATTATTGACCAATTTTGGCAACTTTTACCTTTGCAGAGGGGCAGCTTCAACACAATCTACAAACCTTCAACTTTAATATTCACTTCACTTTCGGAATTAAAACGATTGTTTTTGATTATTTTTTAACCATTAACTTAACGATTTCAAAAGTCATGCGCACGCTTTCAGTTGATCGATTGGCTTGCGCGCTCACTTTGCGCCCCAATTTCTCCGCGAATATGTGGAGCAAGACAAAACTAATACATAATTGCTTTTAAAGCCTAGTTCTATTGATAAACAGATGCGCCAAACTTGAAATCAAAATTCCAAAATTGAGTTTTTGATTTTTATACCCTGGAAAACCAAAAGGGTATTATAATTTCAGTCAGAAGTTTGCAACGCAGTGAAGGAGACACCTCAGACCCCATAAAGTATATATATTCTTGATCAGCATCACGAGCAGAATCGAAATCCGTCTGTACGTCTGTCCGTCTGTCCGTCTGTCCGTTTCCGCGCAAACTAATCTCTCAGTTTTAAAGCTATCGTGCTGAAACTTTCCCAAAAGTTGTGTAGTGTTTGCACGCAGTATATAAGTCGGAACGGGCCGGATCGGCCGACTATATCGGATAGCTCCAATACAAGAGAATGAAATAAA